TAGCAAAAAGGAAAGAAAAGTCAGAATGTAGATTCCCCTTACAGTTAAATAAAGTAACAAATAATGTTATGTAGACAATAACACAACGAATGACGGTTTAATTTTACTTTCAATTATAAAGATGTAGCACTCATAGTTAGCCTTAATTTTGTATTTTTTTTACTAAGTTCTTCGTCCCCAGTCTAACTCAATCTTCCTCAACCTTACGGGAACTATGTAGGAGTGGTACCTCCTGAAAACATTACCCAACTTTTTTCAACTTTGTTGTTCGTATAATCCGTTTCAATCTTCCCGAGTCGTAACCATCCTTATTTATCTTCGATCTATTAACACTTCTCTGGTGTTTTTCCATCTCTGGAAACAACCATTTTGAAATTTCCATCAATTCGAAAGTATTTTGCAAGTTTTACATCAGAAAGAGGACAGCACCTTAAACTATCCTTATTCTCTATAGTCCCTATTTTTTGTTTCTCTACTTTAATAAGTATATCATGGCATTTCTCGTTAAAATCACGAATTAGGTTATCTCCGGGTTCCAACCTAGTGGCCAATTAGGGCTGGGCTTATCTCCCGTTTTTATATAGCATCGAAGCAACTAGTAGTATTTCTACTCCCCCCTAGATGGGATGCTAGTCCATCGCAGGGTTACCCCCGGCATTAAATTCGCCGGTACCCATTTATAAACCTGGGTGGAGAAAGACACTTGGAAAGTTAAGTGTCTCCCCAAACCGAGCCCAACTCGAACTGGAGTCCAGCAAATTAACAGTTGGCCACCACCCCTCCCCGCCTAAACTAACTCGTCCTTATCACCTGGAATGGGTTCAGATGCTGTGGCTTCCTCTTCCAACACTTCATGTAACATGAGTTCAAGAACGTGAGGAAAGTATGGCAAGTCACAACACATGTTGGCAATCTTCAACGCCTGTTGTCCCAAGCTAAGGACAGGAGAAAAAACCCAAGATGAGCTAAAAATCTAAAACAAGTTAGAGACATTTGGGTAAAGTAACTACTGAGATGAGCTGAGAAAAATAAATAACGAACCCTCTCATGCATCGTCACTGTTGTTCAACTCTTTGATCTCAAATGTGAAAGCTTGATCAGTTGCTTGTTATCACAAAAGACACTTCAATTTGGTCCCAAACCTACTTCTCGTTTTACTGGTTGGTTCCATGGATGGTTGGATGGTTGTAAAGTTGCTTGGTTCGCACTTTCGCTCGTTCGTTCGTTCGTTCGTTCGTTCGTTCGTTTGTTCATTCGTTCGTCCGCTCGTTCGTTCTTCCGTTCATTCGGCCACTTCCTCTCTAGCTTGTTTGTATATTCGTTTGTTCGTTCGTTCGCTCGCTCATTTGTCTATGTACTGTAAGTTCAACAAAATTGTTTAAATTAGACAACAGACTAAACGGGAACAGCACTTACTTTCGACGCAGGAGCTGCCTCAAAACATGGTGCAGGTATATTTGAGTCTAAGAGCAAACCAAGCGTACAATCGGATTAAATTCAAATGAAACCATTCAACACGAAACTAGTAGCAAGACAGTGAAATTGGTATTAAGACGGATCAAGATCTTAACTCTCCTTACAATATCAACACATTGTCAAGCACTCCGGCAGGTGATGAGAATAACGATAATCATCAACAAAGGGATACTGTCTTGATGTATCATCAAATTCTCGAGAACCAATAAGAGAAGAAATGTATGGGATCACTGAAGAGAATTTTAAATTTCAACACTTTACGACTGAATTGAATGAAAAGGTGACTAACCGTTCTTTCTAGCGTACAGAAAGGA